TGGCAGCGAGACGGTCCGGCGGCACTCCAGCTCTGCCAGGCGTATACAGTGCAGATGATCAAAGGGCACCCCTGCCCCTTCTGCAAGCTGCCGGTTTATGACAAACGTAAGCACCCAGAACAGTGCATAGTTCTGTTTCAAGTCCTGCTTGGGTGGCACAAGGTGCAGGGAACGGACACGATGCGGGAACAATGTTCCAGGCCTCAACCAAAGACCGCGGTGACAATGTCCCTCAGTGGCTTTTTCGGGACAGCGGACTGGTCTGTTCCCTCCGCTGCATCTACCCCGGTCGCCACGGCGACAACGAGCGCCGCCAGTGGAACTCTCCCACCAGGCCTGTACTCTCGCATGAGGCACATGGTAAACTCAGGCAACACCTGCTATGTCAATGCGACCATACAAGCCCTACTAGCCGCAAGCAATCATGTGTCCAATGTAGCGGAACTGGGACCACTGGTCGAACATTGCATCAGTTCGGAGGCGGATCCAATGGACACAAGGCCCATAAACCCTCCGAGCCTTTTTGCCCTTCGGTCACTAGTGCCTAGATGGCGATTCGATGGCCGCCAACATGATGCCTCCGAATTTGTCACAAGCCTGCTAGAGCATAACACAGGGACCCTACAACCCGTGCGTTGGGAGGGTCGCACTAATGGACTCCCAGAAAGCGAGGATGACGGCCTTACGCCGCTGCTGCTGCCTCTTTCCTCGGACTGTCGTACACTGCAGCAGGCCTGCACGGCATGGTACAACCACATGTTCCAACGCGCCCTGGCATGGGCCCCAGACATCCTACCAGTCACAGTTGCCCGATGGATGGAAGGAACCAAACGACGCACCCCGCTCGACCTGCGCAGGCAAATCTCATTGCCGTCTTGGACGGAGGGACAGGACCGCCAATGGCACCAATACTCCGTCATTTCGGGAGTTTTTCATGTAGGAGCAGAAATACACTCCGGTCACTACCGGTCTTTCTGGATCCACCCGCATGGAGGCGCGCTATACGTCGGTGATGATGCCACCCGCCCACACCCAGCCTCGGCCTCAGATCGCAAACATGTTCTGGAAGATTGCTACCTCCTTTTCTTGAGAAAACAGGAGTGACTCTGACTCACCCTCAAGGGGTGAGTGCTGGCCCTCCAAACCTCGGAATGCGTGCACCAATAGGGTGCCTGTGCATGGGAAGGCCGGACCCCACAATAGGTGGGCATGGCCCCCCCCACGTCAAGGCCAAGCATGCTTTAAGCATGCGCAGGCTTACCCGCAGCTTTTCAGGCTGACCCAGCATGGCTGACAAGATTCACAGCCCAGACCACAAACGTGGTCGAACCGCATCACCCCTAGCTTCAGATTCACTCATGGGAGAGCCTTCTGAGCCATTTGGGGTCGACACTCGACGCCAGACAGCCGGTGGTGGCAAGCAGCGGCCAGGCAGAGCCCTGCATGCCCTCTCCAACGCCGAACTTACTCAAGGCTTTCTGCTGCATGAAGAACAGCTTGCTCTACTACAACTTCAAGCCTCGCTGGTGTTCAAGCTCCCCACGGATGCCCCCCTTGCACAGGCTCTCTCCAAGGCCGTAGCCGCGTGGCAGAAAGGCCACACGCCGGGGAAAGCGCACCCACTGGGTTCATGTGCACACTTTACAGCGCGGGAGCAATGCTCGTCCAGCTAGCCCAGTCTCAACAGAAACCACCCGGCATTGACACCGCTCACTTCAAGGCCTTCATCAAGCTCGTTGAGGACTTTGGCGAAGCGCCACATGAAGCCGTGGTGCATCTGGTCGCGCACTGCTCAGCTCGACAGAACGCACTCAAGACACACCTCATTCTTGACTTCCGACCGGTTCTACACTCCCCGCTTGAATACACCTCGCTGATCGCAGCCCTCCTGGACTCTTATGAGGGGGAGCGCCTCGGCAAGAAGGCGCCTGGTGGCCTGGCTCGGAAGGCGAGGGGTAAAGCGGGCTGAGGGAGTGGTGCCAATGGCAGCTGCTGGCGAAAGCCTGGCTCATATAGGATCTTTTCTAGCTGTCATAGGAGCAATGCTCGAAATCGCCCTGCTCCCGGAGTGTGCTGTCAGCCAAAAGCTGTACCACTCCAGTGCACAATAGTAAACACCCAGGCAATCACGTCTGTGGAAAAAGGATCTGACCTACCGCCGTGCCTACATCATCACAACAGCCTGCCATCCTGTATGGTATCGCTTAGCAGTGCCAAAAATACTGTCATGCAGCCTTTCAACTTACCAGGTTTGCCTCCTGACTCCCTCCCAGCCTCACTGCCGCACAACATGCAAGGGCTGCAGTGCCAAATCGATCTCGACTACTACGCTGCTCAATGGGATATCATCAGAGAGCTGGGCCTAGACAAGCCTGCAACGACCACTGCGACCTCGGCAACTTCGACTGACAAGGAGCGGACCGCGACAACTAAGGAGCCAACCGCTACATCATTACCGTCTGGTCGTCAACGACCTCCGACGCCACCCCGCTCACCGAAGAAGCGCCAAAACACAGTGAATAAGATTCCCAGTTAGCAACAATGCCATTTCTGAGTCTCGGGTGCGCACAATGAGCGGCCCTAACACTGAAGGAGGTCAATGACCTCCTGCACCACGCTGCCAGGACTTGAAAAAGCTCCGGAACCTAAAAGCCCTCTGCTAGCTCATGCCATCCCGCAGGTTGTCCAGCTGTCAGGCCCTCTACACTGTGCCTGCGCTTTCCATGCGGTTGGACACAGAAGGATCAAGCCTCAGGTCCAGCCTTTCCTTGCTCTGGATCGGACATGCGGCTAGTTCTGACACCGCGGCCCTGGACAGCCTTCACATCCGATTGGGACTCGACCAGGACCCACATCGCATGGCAACGGCGATTGTGGCAGCAATGACGGACCATGCACAAACTGTGCAGCGAGTCCCCACTCCCTGCACCCTGGCGGGGCCCACATCGGCAGCATGCCTCAGCCTCTTGAAAGGCACGGTCGGCAAGACCGTTGGGCGAGGCTACACGAGCACGGTCTACCTGTCCCACGACGACCCAAACTTTGTGATCAAACAGGTCAAGGCGGAGCACGAGGCGGACTTTCGCAAGGAATTGCATCGTGTCACACGACTCCCGCCTCTCTCCGTAATCAACACCATCTACGTGGCTGACGGCCCTCGTGCACTCATGCCGCGCCTGTGGTCAGCTCCCCGCTCTCTCACCGGGGACACAGTCCAGCGGCTCAAATTCGACATCGCGGCTGCACTGCAGATGCTGCACTCTGCCCAGATAGTACATGGGGACGTGCACGCAGGCAACATCATGGTTCGGCACCAGCCGGCCAGTTTCGTGCTGATTGACTATGGCGGCTGTTCTGGTGAGGCCATCTACCCCCTGAGCCATGGCTACGGTGCCATGGGCTATGGCGGTGACCTGCATCGGCCACCGAACCCAAGCCGGTCAGGACGGCGAATGGAGATTTCTACCGGCTGAGCCAAACGATCCTCAAACAATTCATGTCGGACGAAGAGCCCGCCAAGCGCCGCAAAGGCAGCGGCGTCAATGACGGAGTCAGCCGGGGCATTCCTAGTCACATGAAGCGCGAATTGCAGCTATGGCTGGAGCGGGACCAATGGCCGCAGCCCATCTACCCCAGCTCCCCCTTCCCTGCTGGTTCTTGGACAGATACCTCCTTCAACCCCACCGTCACCGTGCACGCTGGTTTGTGGCGAGCCAATGGTGAGCTCCGGACGGATACAGCCATCCATGCCCGCTCAGATGACAAGTTTGGAAATAACAATGGCTCCCTGGTCCCAGAACAGGCAGACCCATCGGATCCCTTCCCTGGCCTTGGGTCCTGGGAAAAGTCTGCTGTGTGGGCCAAGTTCTACCTTTCTACCGAATTGAGGACATGCGGCCGCCATCTCAGGTACGTCTACCAGGAAATCTTCCCCTGGGAATCCTACTCCAACCAGGACGGCTACTTGGTGCTTGACAAGCCCCCTCCTCCACCTCCGATTAAGACTACTGATCCGAAGGAGGAGGCGGTGTCAATGACAACTCCAGCATCCCAGCGTGGGAGCAAGGCTCACTCTACCCCGGAACCGGTGCCACCTTCATCTCCTACTACCCAAGCTGACATGGGGTCAGGTACTTCATAGCAGGAGCGACAAGGAGCATCCGCCAAGCTTCCAGGCATCTGGGGTGACCCACCAGCCAGCCCGGTGGAGGACCAGGACCAACTGCCGGCGATTCCCGCTCCATGCCAGCCCCAGCCTCAGCCCATACTGACTTCGGCTGAACCACCAGACTCAATCAGCCCTCTTACCAGTAGGCCAGGGATATGACCCGAACGCCAGATTCCGCGCGATGGCAGCTTCAGGAGGCAGCGACGTCCCCTTCGACACCAAGGGCCACATGCTTCAGTCGGGGGATGACTTTGTGGCTCGCGATCTGGCACGGCCTACCAAACCAGGATCTCGAAAAACTACCATCGAAGATTGGACCCGCAGCCTTCACACTGCCGCGGACTTGCTGCGCGGGGTCGCGGGGGATATGCAGGCCTACCCAGAACGCTTTCTCGAGGACTGCCCGTTCCCGAGGCCCCCGCCGCCTTAAAGCAGCTGGGACAATGTCCGCCACTGTCATCACGATGGCGACAATGTCGTCCTGGCGCTGTCTCGGCCGGCACTCAAATTTTAATTCTCCATGAGCCTGCAGGCTAGCACGCCGTTGTTCTTTAACATGGCCCCTTTCTTTTCGGACGACGCTGCCATGCAAATTGCAGTCACGGTACGAAATCACCGGTCAGTAGGCAAGTGCTAAACTAGTCGTCGTGCAGAACCAGGCGAGATTTGGCACCCAGACACTCAGCTCCTACATCTATCTGCAGCAACTAAACATGACTGTGCTTATCGGCTCTCAGACCCAGATAGCCGGTCTGGACGTCCCTGACCCAGCATCGCCACGAAGCGAGCACAAGCGATGTGGCGGCTCCGTAGTAGCTCGGGATGCATTCCCATGGACCTGGATGGGTCTGATGAGGAGGCCCCGGAGCCGGCGCAGAAGTGTCGCCGCCCGACACTAACAACACCAACAGTTCAGAAACCTCTTCAGTCGGCCTTCCTGACGGCTCCAGAGGAAGCGGCACAAGAAGAGGAACGACAAGGCTCTGTCTGCTCAGGGCTGTGTTTGTACGCCCCACAGGCTCAGGCGCCAGGCATATGTCTCCATTCCCCTCCTGACATGGACGAAATGGAGCACAAGTTCACTCTGTGTGCCGTGGAACAGGCTGCTGCGGACTACCTACATCGCCGCTGGGTCACCTTTGAGCAACTGGATGCCCTGCTGGACATTATGCCCACCACCTCGGCCTGTCGCAATGCATCGGTGGCACTGCCACAGTCTACGGACCAACACATGGTCACATTCGGAGCATACCAGCAGGGGCCAATGGCCGGCCTGAGGACACCGACTCACCGTTTTCCGATGGCGACGTGTCTCCTCAACACGGTCGTGCACACTGTGGCTGGACGCCATCCACGCACGACCCTCTTCCTGGCGCGTAACATGGCCTCTGGATTGCACACAGACAATAACCAAAAAGGGGTGAACAACCTCCTGATCCCACTTTCCAACTTCGAGGGTGGCCACCTCTTTGTGGAGGACGACGCCGGGGATTACTCACTGGACTCCGTTGGACCCAGAGGTCACGTTCTCCCCGTGACCCTGCCCTACCTTAGCTTTGACGCCTCACGACGACATCTGGTACTGCCGTGGACGGGACGCCGTCTCATACTCGGCACTTATCACATTCGAGAGGCGGACAAGCTCTCCGCACATTCCGCTGTACACCTGAAGTATTTAGGTTTTGAGGTGCGTCGCACAGATACCGGCTCCTCTAGCTCGCAGCGGCAGCACAGCTGATATGTAGCCGCGAGCTGGCGTGGGGGGGGCAATGCCCGACAAATTTTTATTTAGCTCAAGTTCTGGAGGCAGCTGCCTATCCCTCCCAGCAGGACAAGAGCATGTCCATAGGTTCTTTCAATTTTGACCCACAGCCTAGGCTGACGTCATCTGCCCAGGAATGTTAGGTGATCTGAAATGCATGCAGATGCACACTGCACATGCGCCTGCGAGAGCCACAACGACTAACACATGCCTACGCTTGCCAATGCTGGCAAACTGTCTCTGAGGTCAGACGACACTCTCCCGGCTGTCTCCGCTGGTGCCGATCTTCTGGCATGGCCGGACCAGTACATGCAACAATCTGAAGCTTGATGATGCTTGGCAACCTGCAAACTCGCTTTGGCTGATTACTGCCAGTTAGTTCAAAGCCTGTAGGCCGCCACATCTAAAGGTCTTTGACCTGGGCTGATCAGCTATAGGGTCTGAGTCAGTTTCACACCAAGTGAGGGCACCGCGGCAATCGCCCGCTATGTGCAGAGCCCGCTCGCACAGCGTTCAATTGAAAAATAGTAGTAGTAGTAGTAGTAGTAGTAGTAGTAGTAGTAGTAGTAGTAGTAGTAGTAGTAGTAGTAGTAGTAGTAGTAGTAGTAGTAGTAGCCGCCACAAGTGCTCAAGCGGCCGCGCTGAATGAGAGGTTTCGAACAGGCTTGGGGCGCAACTGCTGTGCTAGAGGTTTCAACCGGGCCCTTTTCTGAACAGTAAAGGTTTGTGTCTCCTTCTACGCCATGGTCCTCTCCCTTTTCTCACAGGAGCTGCTTTGAGCCGCCAGGTCCCAATTCCTGGGCCCAGACTCTGTTTAAAACATTGCAACACTGGGTAGGCGGTAGGGTTTCCACCTCCGCGCGGTGGAGGGAGTCATTAGGCTTCTGTCTCTTGACGAAAGTAGCGGATGGCGCAATTGCCAGTGCACTCACAAAACTTTGCATCTCTTCGTAAGAATTCGTTCAAGACAGCATGTAGAAGGACAGTCCGTAGTGACGGGCCCGTACCATACCGAGGGCAGGTTCTGACACCTACCCTGGTTGATCGTCTGGGGGTGCGCCCCCCACCCACTCGAAGAGAGCTTCAGTCACAGACTGCTGACTCCCCTGCATATGGCACAGCCTCCCGCAGGGCAGGAAGGTTGGAAAGATCCATTCGAGTTCTTTCGTGGAACGCGGGCCACCTAGGCCAACAGCAATGGGGCGAACTCAAAACGTGGCTAGCAGCTGAAGCCTCTCATCACTGCGACGTCCTCATATTGCAGGAAACGCACTGGACTGAGACCAGTGAATTCAGCGTTTCTGGGTGGTACTGTATCTCCTCAGCCTCGGAGTCTACCAAACCCAACACCCGGCCTAAACAAGCAGCGAAGCGAAACACTCGGCAAGAACCGCGAGCTCCATCCACGACTCGCGCTGATGGAGTCATGATCCTATTCTCTCCCAAGTTCGTCCCCAAGAGCTTACGCTGGAAGGAGTGGAGCCCGGGTAGGGTCTTAGAAGCTCGTGCAGACATTGCAGGTACTCGGCTGGTTGTCCTCGCGGTGTACCAACACGCTTGGTCTTCAGCCAAGACCATCCAGTCCAATAAGGATGACCGTGCTAAGGTACTATCAGTCATGTCCAAGGTGATCAAGCAGGTGCCTAAGAGGGACTCCCTTATTGTAGCAGGCGATTTTAACACTTCCCTGCGTCCGAGCTCTCCATTGGTGGGAATGCACGTGAAGCCACCCACTGAGGACCGCCCTGACGAATCCAACTTGTTTAATCTGCTGCTCAGGCTGCGTTTGGTTGCCCTTAACACCTGGCAATGTGACCATATAGCTACCTTCTCACAAGGAGGCGTGGAGTCGCAAATTGACTTCATTCTAACCAAAGAATCTACGGCGGGAGGCAAAGCCAAACGGTCAGCCCCTTGGGTGGACTGTCCGTTGGGCAGCTGGAAGAAAGGAGGGCATTACCCACTCAAAGCTGACGTACCCCTCCAACACCACTGGCTGCTCCCATCCCACAAGCCCAGCACGCGCCGGTATGATTCACTAGCTCTACAGGCCTCAGTCAGGGAGGAGGACGATACGGCCAAGGCCCTGCACAACTGGATCGCTTCCAGAATTGACACCTGCCAGGACCCCAAGGCATGGAATGCGTTGCTTTTGGAAGGTGCAGAACGCTTTTTCCCAAAAATTCCCAAAAGAAGACCGATCCCGCTGGAATCGGAAACCCGTCGCATGTGGCGGGCCCGCACCCATGACAGGGCTGCGAACACCACTCCCTCAGCACAGCTGATCGAGTCACCTAAAGCAATGGCACAGCCTCCTAATCAGAACACGCCACGTCCGCCGGAAACCGAAGCTGAGCTGGCACAAGTGGCACACCGCCAGGCTGTGAAACAAGCAAAGAAAGATCGAATTGCGAGTTTCATATCGGAGGTGGACGCGTGTCTAGCTGAAGGTGATCAACATATCTCCTTCCAGACCCTCAAAAAGCTGCAGCCTTGGCAGCCTGCGCGCAGAGCTCAGCTAAAGGACAACACAGGACATTTACTAGGTCCAGCGCAGGAACTAGCAGCCCTCAGGGACTATGCCAATCAGGTATTTGCGGCCCACCCTCCGTTACGGACAATGCATGGAGCTTTCCCTGCTTTGGAGCCGCCCAAACTAGCAGCTCACATACATTCCATCAAGCCTAATAAAGCTGTTCCTGACGGAGCGGCACCTGCGGCTGTATGGAGACTGTGTAGCGATCTCGTTGCACCGGTCCTCTCCGAACACGTAGCATCCAAGCAGGCCGAGGACAGTCTAGAATCCGACCTCGTAGACGCTGATCTCTGCTTAATTCCCAAGCCGGGCAAGCCCTCTGACAAACCCGCAAACCTGAGACCCCTGGGCATCCTTAGACCTGACGCTAAGGGACTGGCGGGAGCGGCCAGAGAAGCGCTTCAACCACTGACACTCTCGTTCCTCAAGCACATGCCACAGTTCGCTTATCTACCAGGTCGGGGGCTGTCAGACGCGCTAGAACGCGTGGTGCATCACTTGCGAGAGGCTCGATCCCTGTTAGAACAGGCCCACCCCACGAGACATGCCTTGCAACAAGGCACACAGGCCCCAGCCTTAGTCGGCGGCCTCACCTTTGCTCTTGACCTCAGCCAAGCGTTTGACACTGTCTCTCGCCAAGAGATCATCGACCTTCTTCAGAGAGAAGGGGCCGATCAGGACACAGTCCATCTCGTTCAGGCTCTACATGATGGGTCTCGTTACGTCCTTCACGCGCAGGGAGATTCCACCTCTGTTGAAACCACAGCAGGCATTAAACAAGGATGTAAGCTCGCCCCCACACTCTTCTCGTTCCTTACAGGTGACCTTTTCCGCTCTTTGGTTGACCTTTTCGGTGCTGAGCAGGTCTTGAAATTCCTGACAGGATATGCCGATGATCTCACGCTCCATCGGACTATCCGCTCTGACAAGGACCTCAGGGCCATTCATGCGCTCATCGCAGCGCTACTTGAGGAGGTCCGCAAACACCGCCTACGCGTCAACATTAGCAAGTGCGTCATCTTGGTGAAGTTAGCGGGTAGAGAATCCCAAAACGTGATGAACAAACACGGCTGCTGGATCACCAACTCCAAGGGCGAGCAGGTTCGCGGATGGCGCATAGGGCCCAATAAATCGTTCCCCGCCTTCCAGTGGGTCTCCTGTAGCAAGTACCTGGGGGTTATGATCTCCTACAACCACTTCGAGCTGCAGTCCTTACATTACCGCATAGGGGAAGCAAAGCAAAAGCTGCATCAAGTCCGCCAGTTTGTCTACAATCGCCGGCACGCGAGCACCATGTCGAGACTTAAGGTTTGGCAAAGCACAGTCCTGAGCACACTGACGACAGGCCTCTCAGACGTCGGACTCAGCGAGGAGTCGGCCAAGCAGCTACGCAGTTGGCATGCTTACAAGGTGCGATCAGTGCTGAACTTGCCAGCACACACCAGCCGCATCACCACTAAGGATCTCTTCCAGCTTTATAGCATTCAGGACCCAGTTCAAGCGATGCAGGTCAAGCTCAGGAAGCGACTCCGCAAACTTGAGCGACGTGCAGCCAGAAGCCCAGATATCACAACCGATCCTTCTGTCTTGCAAGTCATCCGGGACAAGCTGCATTTCATGTCACAGCTCCCTGAAACAGTTGAGCACCCTGTAGCCCTACATGCATGCACACTCTGCGATGCCTCTTTCGAGACAGCAAACGGGTTACACTTACACAAGTCGAGAGTGCATCCAGCCAGCATTGACCGATTTGTGCCATCAAGCTTCGATCGACAACTCCACGCGGTGGATGGGATGCCGCAATGTGCCGCTTGCATGCGCAAATTTCATCAATGGAAAGGTCTTCGTGACCACTTGTTGTCAGGAGCATGTCCGGAACCCCAGAAGCTTCGAACTCTGAACGTGACTGACAAACACTCAAGTCACCCTGAGGTAAGGACCCTGTCCCAGCTGCGACAGGACATTGCCCAACTCCCACAACATCGAATAGCGGTGATCTCAAAGACAGCGGAGGCCCGGGTCCTGATCCATAGGTGCCTCACGTGTGACTTCTGGACTTTCGATCACACTAAAGTCAAGTCACACTTCCGTCAGGCGCATCCTAAGGACTGGTCACGGCTGCACAAGCGTGCAGTCTCTATATGTCAGGGTTTCTCGCCTCACCTTGCCAAGGGACACCCGTGTTCATTCTGCGGTTACAAGGTCTATGATCGTAGACTGCACCCGGAACAATGCCCCGTACTTTATCAGGTGAGCACACAGTGGCTGCGAGGGCAACCGGAGGTAGAGGAAGCCGTTACTGCTCCCCCCTCCAAGCCCCAAGAACGGTCACTGACCCACTTCTTTAAGTCACGGTCGAATGGCACAGCCTCCAATCAGTCGAGCACAGCTCGTCACACCCCGGCAGACAAGCAGGCGTCCGATCCGCAGTCCTCAGGAC